TAAGGGCTATTGCGCAGAGAAATCCTGTCTCAAAAAACAAAGAAAAAGCAGCATACAAAGGTTCCAATTTCTCCCCATTCTTGCCACCACTTTGTTTCTCTATCTTTATTATTATTACAGCCATCCTGAGGGATATGTAATATGCAGTTGTGTTTTTAATGTGCATTTAGAGAAATATCTCTTTAGATCTTTCGCTCATCTTTCAGCTGGATTGTGGAATTGGATAAATATTTGTTCTAAATACAAGTTCATAATCTGATCATTTATCATTTTCTTTCTTCATTTAGATGGTTACTCCTTTGTCTTTAGGGTATCATTTGAACTCCGATTTTTACATTTATAGGGTGTGTGTGTGTCTATGTTGTCATAGTGCTCAGTGTGGAGGTCAGAGAACAACTTGTTGGGAGTCTGTCTGTACTACAATGTGAGTTCCGGGCAGGGATTGAATTTAGGTTGTCAATTTTGGTGGCAAGAGCTGTTGGCCTACTCAGACATCTTGTTGACCCTTTAATTTTTTTATCTTTGGTGCTGGATATTGAGCTTAGTGCCTGTTCACATACAATGCTTGCATTCTCCCATTGTGCTACACGCCAAGCCTTTAAAGTTTGTAATTTTAGTTAAATCTGATTTGTCTGTTTCTTTTGTTGCTTTTGCTGTTAGAAGAATTCATTGCCAAATATCCTCGACCATAAATAAGATTTGCCCTTTTGCTTTAAATCCGTTAAGATGAGGCAAAATAATATATTCACACCAAATTTTCTGTTTCAAGATGTCTTTGGATTTTGTCAGGTTGATTATTGAGATTTCTTGGTCTTGATCTTAAAATGTACTCCATCTGGAATTTGTTGAAAACCTTTGATGTTTTTCATTAAATTTGGTGTTAGGTTTTGACCATATCTCATCACAAATCTTGTTATTTTTCATTACCCTATATTGATGTGTGCCACATTGTTCTGATGATCTGTCCATGTTTTTCTTGCTCTTTCATATTGCTATCTAACAGTCTGCAAGTTTATTGATTGTTTCTTGTGTCAAACAGTTCTGCTGTTGAACCATGTTAGTGGATTTTTAATTTCACTTATACTTTTGTCTTTGCCTACTCCTCCACCCAACTATTAGCTTTTACTAATTACCTACTGATTGCTCTACTGTTTTACATGGTGATTTGGCTTATAAAATTTCCCACAGTCTGATCTCTGATCCAATTAAATTCTCATTTTTCAGGGATAATCTTTTGTGCTGGTTCTAAAGGGTCTCTTTTGACCCAGGATGCTTGGTTATAGCTCCATTTCGCTTGTTCTCTTTGGTAAACTGTTAGTTGGGTAGTTTGTTGACTTTTATGGAACTACCAATATCTTAATCAAAATATAGCCAGTTTACTATAAGAGAACTTTAGAGATTTCTGTTCTTATTCTCTGCCCCCCCCCCCTCACTCCCCACCCCCAGTGGAACCTTTATACCACTTCAGAACTGAAGCAGTAGACTGTAGCTGGCTTCTGTCATAGTTAAAGCGCTTACTTACCCTGAACAGAGTGCTTCATGGAGTCAACATTCACTCTGTGACTCAGCCTGTCTCCTCCTGCTTTGGAACCTTGACCCTCTGGATGAATTGTGGTGAGAACTATAGTATTCTTGGTTTGCTGCCCTTGAAGTAGAACTTCTGTCCCACAAGTGGGACCTGGGTGGAACAAAGGAGCCCAGACCTGATAGTCTTCCCTGCAATATAGAACCTCTTGCTGGATTAATGAGAAATCTAGCTGCTTTCTTCTCCCAGGGAGATACCATTAACTAGAAGGGGAGAGCCCATTGTTCTTTGGTGTGTTCCTTTAGAATGAAAAGTGCAGTGGTTTAAATGAGATAATGGTAGATTTTTCTTGCTCAAAAGTTTTGTAGTTTGTTATATGTTCTTAAGACAATTTCCAGAGACTTAATTTTTTCCCTACCTGGTGTTGGTGCTTTTACTGAGGAAACTGCTCACCAGAGCTCCTGATGACACCATTCTTGAAGTCATTTTTAATTTAAAATTTGTCAAATTACAATAACCTCTGAAAAGTTGGTTTTGAAAATGCCTAGAATGGATACTAACATCCACTGAAGCTTTCAGTATCATAATTGTATATGTAGGACTTGACAGACCTCACTATGGAGAAGGCCTGCGTAAAGAGAATTTGGCTAATTATCAAACATTTCTAAGTTGTACATTTCTGTTGCTATAAGGACTTTCAAGTGCAGGGTGCATGTCTATTTTGACTTCGAGGAAGTTATCCTTAGGATAGAGCTAGATAAAAGTGACTTAGTTATAAGATTTATGTGGAGGGCTTTAAGTAGTGTTGAAAAGAGAATGTGACTATTTAGGTGACATGGAGTAACATACCAAAGAGTAATTGAACATCCTCATTTGCATTTTCTGAATTGATTGGTTGTAAAGTTGTCTAGACCAGACATCACACTTGGAACCTCGTTCTTAATGTTTGGAATCATAAAAATTCAGAATGATGAGTTCATATACTGATAATTACAGGAGTATTGGGAGCTAGGACAATGAGATCTTTTACCTATCTATGTAGATATCTGTCTATCTGGTTTTTCGAGACAGGGTTTCTCTGTAGCTTTGGAGCCTGTCCTGGAACTAGCTCTTGTAGACCAGGCTGGCCTCAAGTTCACAGAGATCAACCTGCCTCTGTCTCCCAAGTGCTGGGATTAAAGGCATGTGCCACCACAGCCAGGCTCCAGAGATATCTTTTGTTTTTGAGCAAAGGTATGTACTGCTTTGTCTGACTCTTTATGGGGGTGCTGAGAATTAAACTCAGGTCCTCATGCCTCTGTAGCAGGTATTTTATGCACTGACTGAGCTATTTCCCCAGCTTATTTTTTAAAAAACTTAATTTTTAAAAATAAGTCAGTTTTTATGAATATAACTAGTTATGTTTTAGAATATTTAACACGAAATAATTCATTGAAAAGTTCAATTTTAGGAATCATCTCTTTATCATCAAAATTTTTTGATTGATAGATTTCTGTAATTTTGCCCCTTAGTAATCTATATGGTGCTTTTGTCTGGGATGATTTTCTCATCACTTTTGTCCAATAGTTTTGGTTTGACTATAGATTAGGACTTTTGAATATATATGTAAGGAAGGAGGTGTGTCTTGTCTGTGTCTATGTGTATAGTAGGCTTGGTGGTTTACTGATCTTGCAGAGGTCTCTGGTTCAGTTCCCAGGACCCACGTGGCAGATCACAACTGTCTGTAACTCAGGTTCTAGGAGATTAGAGAGCCCCCTGGGTTTGGTTCCCAGAACTTGTGGTGGCTGGCAATCTTTTTTTTTCCTCTTATAAAGGAAAACATTTAATTGGGGGGGGGTGGTTTACAGTTCAGGGATTCGGTCCATTACCATCATGGCAGGATGCAGGCAGGCAAGGTGCTAGAGAGGTAGCTTAGAGTACATCTTTCAGGCAGCAGGAAGTGGTGTGTCTTACTGGCCAGAATCTTGTATCTTGAACATATATAAGAGCTCAAAGTCTACCCCCACAGTGATATACTTCCTCCAACAAAGCCACACCTCCTAATAGTATTTATGGGAGGGTGGCTGGCAATCTAAGCTCCAGTTCCAAAGGATCTGTCTCCCTCTTCTGGCCTCTGAGGTCACTGCTTTCACAGGCAAAATAGTCTTACATATGAAATATTTGAAGTAGTTTTCTATCAGAGACCTATAACCAGTCATTAACCAATCAATAAAAGGTACACTTTATTTTTCTTTTTTACTTTAAGAAGACATAATGTAGAGGCAGATATAAATTAGATTTGGTTCTGAATAGGTTTAATAAACTGCAACTCTTATTTTTGACTATGGGAAAAGGGGAAGTAATACTTACCTTCTGTAGCACACAGACAGACAGGAGAAACAAATGAGTTGTATAAAGTCCTTGAAGGCCTTTTGAACTTTATAGTTATGATGCTGAAGCGCAGGAGCTCCAAGTATGTTTTGTATACCATGCTGTATAAGAAGAAATTTTGTAATGTTTATAGGCAATCTCTCAAAAGAGCCAGTGGGTTGGGTGATAATTCAAATTTAGGGTTTATTTTAATTTTGTGGAAGTCGTGAAAATTAGACCCAAATACATTTCACATTAGATTTAATCACAAGAGATTTTTGTTTTTTGTTTTTAAAGTGCAGTATGGGCCTGATTCCATCTGATGAGGAACCTAGACATAAGTGCCATTAAAAGCACCTCTTCAGGTGCTTTTATTCTACAGACCAAAAGAAACTCAGTGGTGTAATAAATATGAACTTAAAGTTTTGGTAGTATTCTGTGCACTTTTGTTAGTCTGCGAAGAATGCTTGTTATTAAGTGGTTGGGACTTGTTGCCTTGAATAGGGCTCCAAAGTGCTTGTGGTTAACACCTTATCTTTGGTTTGGAATTAGAATGGGACATAAACAATAGAGCTTGGATTTCGCACAATTATGGAATCTGAAATTCAAAATCTAGATGTTGATAGATTTGCTTGTTTGTTTCTCTTTTTAAGCGTGTGTGTGTGTGTGTGTGTGTGTGTGTGTGTGTATATACTAATTGCTATCTTTGTTAGATAAGTAATCTCTCTTAAAAAATTTACAAATCAGTTTGTGGTTTTTGTCCTGATGTACATGCTTTTGCAGTATACTTAAGTGATTAGCCCGCTAGTTAAGGACAGTTTATCATTCCATGATTTAACTGAGTGGCAACTAACTTCTTGATATACTGTCTTTGGAGTCAGTTCCAGGAGAAAATTGAAATACTGCTTGATAAAGCTAGACTTACATGGTTTTGTGAAATAATAGCTATGGGACCATTATTAAGTTGAATGTAGTAATGAAGCTTTAGATTTTTTTACTTTTTACCCGTCATTTCATATAGTTAATGCTCTCTTGACCTGATTCACTCATGATACTAAACTTAACAGTTTTCTAGTTCATGATAGATATATCTAAAGTAAAATGTTCTCTTTCCTTTTACTTGTAGGTTATGCAATGGTCTCTGCAAGATGTTTTATTCTTGAATTGGAGCTTTTTAAGACTGACAAATGCTGGTACTTCATCTTCTATAAGTGGACTATAATTTCTTTTCGTAAGACAACTACATAAGCAGACAAAATTGCAAAGATCTGCCCTGTGTCGAGTATGACAGCCACGACTCGTGGCTCTCCAGTTGGAGGGAATGACAACCAGGGCCAAGCTCCGGATGGACAGTCTCAGCCCCCCCTCCAACAGAATCAGGTAAGACATTATAGATAGTTAAAGACACATTGGTGTATCTCCTGTGTGCTGAGTGTGGAAACATGTTAGAAATGATTGTGAAGCAACCATAAAATGAATGTTTTGTTTAAGAAAAGTAAATACAGGTCTTCAGATGTAACAAAAAACTCAAGTGCTTACATTATCAGTCTTCAATGAAACTAAAGATTTAAGCCCTGTGTCAATTCTGGGAGAAACCTTTGTATGCCATATACATAGAATAATAAATTATCAATTTACAGTAAGATTTTTTTAAAGACTATAGAATGAAGTCTTATTACTGGTGTTCAGATTTTACCTTTACATCATACCAGCTTTATGACTGGATAAGTTACATAATCTCTAAACCTCAGTTTCTTTATTTGTATGATAGGGATAACAGTAATGGAACTTCATGGCATTGTTTGAGGATCAAGTGAAATGTTTGTAAAGATCTCTTAGTATAGATAGATACTGGTGTCAGTTTCTTGCTTTGTCCCAATGCTCTTAATATTAATCAATCACTTAATATTAAGTAATATTTTTATACTTTATATTCGACTTAGGTAAAGTTTCCAGTTCTCCTGATTCCTGTTTCCCCATTGGAAGATTTTACTGATTTTATTTTAGTATAATTTACTGATTGTTAAAAACAAAACAAAACTGTAGATCCATCTTTTTTTTTTGAGACAGGGTTTTTTTTACATAGTCCTAGCCCTAGCTGTCCTGAAACTAGTGTAGACCAAGTTGGCTTCAGACTTACAGAGATCTACTTGCTTTTGCTTCCCAAGTGTGTGGGATTAAAGGTGTGTGCCCAGCCTAGATCTATCTTTTCAAAGAAGGATTTTCTTAAATTTTTTTTTGGGGGGGGTCAGTTTTGTCCACTTCATCTAAAGTGCCAATTTTATTTAGATGCAGTTGTTTATAATACTGTTTGTGCCCTTGGGTACTGAAATGGAACTCAGGTTCTTGCATATGGTTCTCACCTCAGATCCTGCAATATCCTTTTCACTTTTTTTTAAGTATATTGGGGGCTTGTGACAGTGTGTCTTTATTCATCTCTGATACTGCTGATTTGTATTTTCTCTCCTGATTAATCTTTCTAGGGGCTTACCAATTTCATTAATGCCGCCCCAAATATTTTGGGGGACTTTGATACCCCCCCAAACATACCACATGTTCTTACTGGTCTTCTTTACTTTATTTGGATTTGATTTTCTTGTTTTCATCTTCTGAAATTTATCTCAGCCCTTTCTAATCTATATAGTTTTATATATGGGTAAACTGGTTGAGGTTGTGTAAACATGAGTAATAGGCATGCTGTTTACAGAGATACACATTTTTGTGGACTTTATGAGTAAGTTTTAAAGCAAAAGTGTTGTTATTGTAGAGTACTTATATTTGTGATTTGGGGCTAGGTTTTTACTATTCAGCTGTTAGAGGTTAGATAGTCTATCATTAGTCAGATAGAAGAGACCTCTGTCTCTCTTTCTGTATCCCCTTCCTCTGCCACTTGAGAAGAAATGAGCAAACCAGATCCCTTTCAAATGTGCCAGCTTTCTTAATTCATTTCCTTTTCTAGTTCCTATTTTTGAGACATAAAATGGTAATACATATGGTCACAAAACTTGACAAAGTAAAGTCTTTTCTGTCCCATAAATTTGAAGGTCAGTATTCAAGTTTTTTTAAATATAGTCAAAGGATTGTTGAACACTAATAATGACTATTTGTAAACCAGAAACTAGTAATTTATCTTTTTCCCTCTTTTCTTCTTTATTATCTGTGTTGTGTGTGGATTCTAACCTCTTTCTGCAATTTTCATGGCTTTGCAGGGCTTTCAGTGAAAAGAAATCTTGTTCATTAACATATTTGTTTTGAAACAGGATTTCTCACTATGTATCTGGCTGTCCTGGAACTCCCACATAAACCAGACTGGCCTTAAACTCAAAGGTCTTCCTGTCTTTGCCTCCCAAGTGCTGGGATTAAAAGCGTTATGTTATGGAGCTAGAGAGATGAGATGGTTCAGAGTTTAAGAAAACTGTCTGCTCTTTCAGAGGTCCTGAGTTCAGTTCCTAGCAACCACATAGTGGCTCACAATCATCTATAATGAGATCTGTTTTTTTCTTCTGGTGTACAGGCATACATGCAGTCAGGAAACTGTATATATAATAAACAATCTTTTTTAAGGCATATTTCTTTTATTTTAAAATATACTTGGTTTTGTAGAGGTCTTAGGATTGTGATAGTAGTATTTCATGTCAGGTATTAATATATATTTTTCATCTATTGACGATAATTCGCATCTTTAAACAAAAGAGTAAAAGTAAATTACATTCTTACCTATAGAACCACTTTTTACCTATAGAATTTCTCATTGTTTCTTATTGCTATTTTTTGGTTTGATTTGGTTTGGTTTTGGTTTTTCAAGACAGGGCTTGTTTTTTTTTTTTTTTGTAGCACTGGCTGTCGTGGAACTTGCATTGTAAACCAGACTGGCTTTGAACTCGCAGAGATAAGCCTTCCTTTACCTCACAACTACTGGGATTAAAAGTGTGTGCCACCACCATCCAGGCTATTCTATGTTATCTAATGATCGGATTTTATTTATTTCACAAAATCTGATACTGTTGGACCATAAAGAAGCGACCAAAGATTTATTCGGTGTCCAAATAGGGCTTAGGGTTTTTTTGTTGTTGTTGTTTGTTTCCTTTTTCTTTATTTTTAATTATATGTGTGTATGTGCATCTATGTGTGGGTATATGCACTAAGTACAGGTACCTACAGAGGTACCTGGAACTGGTGGTTGTGAGCTACCTGGTATGGGTGCTGAAAATTGAACTCCAATCCTCTGTAAGAGCAGTGGGTACTCTTAACTGCTGAGTCATCCCTCCAGCCCAGGACTCAGTTTCTTGATAACTTCTGAAATAAAATAAAGAGAAAATTTTAAGAAATTAGTAACTAGAGGTAGTCATTTTTGTGCCATATGTGTTCTTAGTGTTTAGCTTGAGTCATCAGGCTCAGTGGCAATCACCTTACTAAGCCATCTTGCTGGCCCATAGAGGGAATTTCTTAATCAAATTTTTAGCTTCAAAAATCTGTGCATATAGATTTTAAGGCTCCATGTATGTCATAAAAACCAGTGACAAATGGGATGAACATTCCTCAGATACGCAATATTTGAGAAGGTTCTAGAATGTAATTTGACAATGTATGCTATAATAGTTTTTAAACAAATTGTCTATATTGTTGTAGTAAATATTTCTAGTGTCCTGTCTTAAGAAAAATTTGCTTTCTACAAGATTTATACATGGAAAGCTCATTAATTTATGTAATGCTGAAAATTTTGACTACTTAGATATTGAATGTAAAGGGAACAGCTACAGCCCTAATTTTGAAAATGAAAAGGGCAGATAACAGTCCTAATTTTATTGAAAATTAACGCATCCACCGAATCGTTTTTCTTTATATTAAAATGATCACAAGGAGGTATTTAAAATGTCCTTGCTGGTGTTTTATTTGTTGGTATGGTATTATAGATGTTTAAAATTGGTTTTTGTCCATATTTTTTGTGAGCTTGTAAACACAGGACAAAGTGTTTTGGTTGTTTAAAACAGATTTCTAAAATTAAAGACTTCAATTTAGATCTTTATATGGGGCTTCTGGCACTTGAATTCTTCTGGTGACTTTGTGTGGTAACTGCAGTGTTTTCCATGTTAAGTGTAAAAATTCGTCTTTAAGTTGCTTACTTCGTCTTGTAGTTTCAGCACAAACTCTGAAAGGAGAACATATTAAATCATAAGCTTTCAGTGATCTCTTTGTAAAATTTTATGCTACTGACATTTTAAAAAATAGTACTAATCTATTAGTGTTTGGACTAGTGTGTGTGTGTGTGTGTGTGTGTGTGTGTGTGTGTGTGTGTGTGTGTGT